GATTTGAGTAAATTACGAAAAAATCAAGAAATACCCCATGTATTTTCAATGGCAAAATGTGGTATAACTTTGAAATTAATTTACTAATTTATCCTGATGGGTTTATATGGCAAATACTATACCATTTGATTACGTAATTATCCAGCTATAATTTGGTGAAAACAAATTAAAAATTGGATTATCCATTAATAAATTATTCAACTTTTTCCTTCAGTAGGTAGATTTGGCCAAAGTATAAATCAAAATTATTAAAACAATATTAAATTAAATTATTAAATTTTGTTATATAGAAATAATCTAGCCTAACCTAACTAAACAATGTCAATAACTATTATTGTTTAACATTTGCTTTTGAGTGATAGGGATACACGACTAATTGCATATCTTAAATTATCATGGCATTATTTACATCATTATTGTTATAAAAACTTTAGTTTATTAGAAATCATAAAACTTAAACATTTATGACATTATAATAATCATAAACTATTGCTTGGCGATTATCATGTTTTTGTTTGTTGCAATCTGGTTGACGTTGTATTTAATATGAAATTGAGTTTTATAAACTATAATAGAGTTATAATTATATTATTGTGTACTAAATGTTTCCTTCATTTTTACAAAAAATTAATATAGTTTTTATATTGTGTGAAAGTAATGTATAAATATTAATAAATTGTAATAAATTTTAAATTTTAAAATTAACGAATTAATATTAGTAAATAATAACATTTATTATTTTAATTCTTTGCGAGTAATAAATAATAACGAAAATAATAAAATCTAATAAATATTTAATTTTGTTTTCATGTATATTTATTAAAAGTTAATTATGTTCAACATTTTAGTATAGTATTTACGGAAATTATTATAATGCTAAAATATATAAATATAATAAATTTACAAATATTCTAGTGCTCAAGTTAAATATTTGCTCAATTAGCTATGTCATCTGTTTTAAATAATTACGAAGTGTTTGATGAAATAGCAGACGATATAAAACAATGCATTCAATTATTTTATGTTTTCGATGACGACGATTATAACACACTGTTTGTGACATTTGATGATATGGTGTATGGCTTCGGATCTAATAGTGAGGGTCAGCTCGGATTAGGACACAACACACCCATTGAGACACCGGTAGAAGTGCCAGAATTATGCCATCAAAATATCCAACAATTTTACAGTGGATTTGATTTTGTATTGGCTGTCAATATCGATCAACAGGTGTTTAGTTTTGGTAATAATATATGCGGACAATTGGGACGGGATGTAGATATGGATGAGCATGTTTATCATAAACCGGACGTTGTTTCATATTTCGCATCAAACGGTTTAGTTATCGACCAAATATGTTGTAATTTCCATAATACTAGTGTGTTAACAATGAATAGACATATATACGGGTGGGGTGATAATAAATATGGACAAGTAGTATATGGGGACAGGCGTATATATATTACAAAGCCCACAGAATTTACACATTCCGTAAAATACAGATTTAATAAAATTATGTGCGAATCTGGCCTATCATTGGGTATAACATCGGATGGACAGGTGTTGTTGTGGGGTGGGCATGAGGTTCTCAAAGTAGGTGAACCACAAATATTGGATATTGAAATCAATATACAAAGCTGTTGCATAAAAGGTTTAGATATGTATTTATTATCAAACGATGGATTACTATATTATTACCATCTTTTATATAAAACAGTGAGAATAAACACTCATATTATATTCAATGAAATGAAACAATTAGAATCACTTAAAGAAGAGAATGTATTCATAACCGGCATATCTGGTGGTATAATATATGAAATAGACGATATAAATATAGTTGAAACTAGTTATACAACATTTAATGATTATTATTCAAGTGTATTGCAAATGACTTTGAATACTCTTTCAACAGAAAATCAACAAAATAGTGAAAATGTATTCAATGAAAACACCGATAAGAATGGCAAGTATTAAAAAATGTACCTATCAGAAAATTATATTAATATTATATTATTTTTATTTATTGATTATTAATAAAGAAGCAAACTGTATATTTGATAAAAGCTTTAATGTAATAAAAAAGCTTGGTGAAGGTGGTTATGGGACAGTATATCAAGTTAAGTCAAAATGTAACAGTGGTTCTTATGCCATAAAGAAATGTCTATTAAAAGGTATCATATGATTCATATACACAAAACTAATAATTTAATATAATTGAAATTAACTAATTTTATTATAGGTTTAAGTGATAAAGAGAAACGAAATGTTTTGAATGAAACGCAAAGTCTTGTGAAACTTCGGTCAGAGTTTGTGATTCAATACTACTATTCATGGATTGATTACAAAGACAATTGTCTTTACATTCAAATGGAGTTATGTTTAGATAGTTTGACAAATGTTTTGAAAATTATGAAAAAAGTTAATTATACTAGTAAACAGTTAATAAATATTGAGTTTTATATATCGTATCATATGTTTAATAAACTGATAGAATGTGTTCAATATTTGCACGAAAATCATATCATTCACAGAGACCTCAAACCGGATAATGTGTTGATTTCAAAGAGCGGACGCATAAAGTTATGTGACTTTGGTTTAGCTAAAGAGGTCGTGAATTGCGATTCATTTAATATGTCAAAAACCAAACATACAGCAGATGTGGGAAGTGTTGACTATATGGCACCGGAAGCCCAGACCAATGATTACAATCATTTGATAGATATCTACAGTCTGTCACTAATTGGGGCTCAAATATTTGGTTTCGAAACAAACGATGTAAAGGACGGAAAGTATATTTATTTCTTAAAAATCGTATTTCTAATTTCTTTTAATTACAAATTATTATTTTAGGATTAATTTAATTGGAAAATGCAATAACAATTATAAAAATATAATAATTTATTTGAATGCATTATTGGTGTCAATGAGTGTTAATAAGTATCGCAAAAATGGTTTAACAGATTGGAGGCAAAGACCCGAATGTTCGCATATTTTATCACAATTACAACAAATAATGATTAAACCTGTTATGGATAAAAATTTTTATAATTTTGTGGATACTATTTCAGAACAAGAATATGATTTTAGTACAATCTATAAATTATTTTTGCGCTGTGATCCAATTATCCGAATACCCAAGGACCATTTAATTAGTAATTTAACGTTAATGAAAAGTTAGATATTATTATTTAATTTTATTAAAATATTTTAACATTGCGTTATATTTTAGAAAAACCATTTAATGTTTCGCAATTTGAAATGGGTGAATATAGAGAGCTGGATTATTTAATTTCAATTTGCAAAGTGGTGGATAAAATTTCGATGAAAATTTATTCAACATTGAAAATAAGAATAAAAGGTAAGAAAATAAGTAAACTATTTAGATAAGTATAAATAGTAAGAAAATTATCTACATAGATTTTAAATATAGCTAACCAAACCAACCCCTATCATGCACTTGAAAAGTTCAAGTCCTCCCCTATCTACTAACTTGATTTAACTTTACAATGCTAATGAAAAATACAATTTTAATTGTGATAGAGCATAATTTTATAGATTTTATTGATTAGCAATAAATATCTATTTTATTGAAATACAATTTATTCTATATTAGCTTAACTGTAAATGGGGGTTTCTAGTACATTGCTTGCAAACCTTATTGTATAATACTTTCGCCTATTAAAATATAATTTACATACACCATTATTTTGTTTTATAAATTAGTTACCATTAAAAGTTTAATATTTATTTATTAAAAAGTTTAAAAATTATATTTAAGTAATTATAATATTCATATACTAGCAAGTATTGTACGAAATGTTTGTTGGATTTAATATCACAATATAGATGAGGAAGCATTGAATGAACTTTTAGACTTAATTCAAGACTTATTTGACGTGAAATCACCATATTTGATTCAATATTACGGATCTTGGATTGAGGATTACCATGTTCATATACAAATGGAAGTGTGTGAACACACTTTGACAGATATTATTATTAGAAAAGATATATTATTCAGCAACCACAATTCTATGGCATTGGTTTACATTGATTTCTACATATCGTATGAATTAATGCGAGAACTGTTAGAATGTATTCAGTATTCACACGAATCGCAAGATCTTAAAGACATTGATTGGATGCTCCGAGAAAATTATGTCCTCTTAACGAATAACATTAAAAACACCAGGGGTATTAAATTGTCCATATTGAATTGGTTCCAACATAAAGTTTATAAGTATAATCGTAATGAATTTCTAACTATTGGGGAAATAGCAGATAATATATTTAAATCTGTTTTTGTCAAGTATGTTTTATAATTAAAATGTAATACATATTAATAAAAATATTGTTTTTTAGAGACCTTTCAGTTGATTTGGGGTTAAATATCGAAAAAATTGATGACTTCATAAAAGATATGAAAAATGAAACGAATTTGAAGTATAAGTCGGCAACAGTTGTATTGAATGAATTCAAACACATTTTCGCACATAATATACGAATCAGTGATGAAATGATTTCCACATTTCAGACACACATCCAATCCATATATTCACACGAATACTTCAATTTCTTTGTTGAATACCTTTTGGCGAAAATAAATGCAAATACATCAGAGATGTGTTTGAATCCAACGGCGCCGACAGTCAGTCCGGAGTCGACCCCCGAAAGTGTAGTCAAAGGCACAAAAACGAAGAGATCGATTGACGACACTACTGAAGAGGGAGTGAAGAAAGTGAGCAAAACTGAGGGCAAAAGTACCGTTAAATCAGAGACAACGACAAAGTCATTGATGAATGATATGATTGAATGGTCTGCCAATCCGTCGACCAGTAATGTTCCAGTAATGTTAAATGAAAACACTGATAAGAATGGCAAGTATTAAATCATGTATTTATCAGAAAATTTAATTAATATTATACTATTTTTATTATCAATTAGCAATGTCATCTGTTTTAAATAATTATGAAGTGTTTGATGAAATAGCAGACGATATAAAACAATGCATTCAATTATTTTATGGTTTTGATGACTTTTACGGTCATAACACACTTTTTGTGACATTTGATGATATGGTGTATGGATTTGGCTCTAATTTTGAGGGTAAGCTCGGGTTAGGACACAACACACTCATTGAGACACCGGTAGAAGTGCCAGAATTATGCCATCAAAATATACAACAATTTTACAGTGGATTTGATTTTGTATTGGCTATCAATAAGGATCAACAGGTATTCAGTTTTGGTAACAATGAATTTGGACAATTGGGACGGGATGTGGATATGGATCGGAATGTATACCATAAACCCAATGTTATTTCATATTTTGCATCAAACGGTTTAGTTATCGACCAAATATGTTGTAATTACCAGAATACTTTTGTGTTGACAACGAGTAGTCAAATATACGGGTGGGGTCATAATGAATACGGACAAGTAGTATATGGGGATAGGCGTTTATATATTACAGATCCAACAGAATTTACACATCCATTAATATACAAATATAATAAAATTATGTGCGAATCTGGCCGATCAATGGCCATAACATCGAACGGACAGGTGTTGTTATGGGGAGAGGATGAGGTTCATCAAGTTGGTGAACCACGAATATTGGATATTGCAATCAATATACAAAGCTGTTGTATAAACGGTCTAAATATGTATTTATTATCAAACGATGGATTACTATATTATTACCATCTATTAGATAAAATATTTCAAATAATAACTCATATTAAATTCAATGAAATAAAACAATTAAAATCATTTACAAAAAATCATATATTAATAACAGGCATATCTAGTGGTATAATATATGAAATTGACTATCCAAATATAATTGAAACTAATTATACAACATTTAATGATTATTATTCAAGTGAATGGCAAATGACTTTAAATACTATTTCAACACATAATGCACTGAATAATGGATATCTATTAAATGAAAACATCAAAAATAATTGTAAGTATTAAATCATTTATGTAATTAAATTAGGTTAATGTTATACTAATCATTTTATTGATTATTAATAAAATAGCAAACTGTATATTTAATAAGACCTTTAATGTAATAAATAAGCTTGGTGAAGGTGAATATGGGACAGTTTATAAAGTTGAGTCAAAATTGATTAACAATATGAACTATGCTATAAAGAAATGTCTATTAAAAGGTATCATATGATTCATATACACAAAACTAATAATTTAATATAATTGAAATTAACTAATTTAATTATAGATTTAAATGATAAAGAGAAACAAAATGTTTTGAATGAAACGCAAAGTCTTGTGAAACTTCGGTCAGAG